GATGGACCCGTGGACATGCCCTCCTCACACAGTGACATGAAATCTGAGAGAAGACCCCCCTTACCCGATGTGATTGTACTCTCCCACAACGAGCAGCCCTCCAGCCCGAGAGAGAAGGGGCTGATCACGGTGGCCTTGAAGGAGACTAGCACCGAGGCTGTCATGAAAAGCAACCCAAAATAACGAGAAAGGATGTTCAAGCAGCTGAAAGAAGAGTTGAGGTTAGAAGAAGCAAAACTCGTTTTGTTGAAAAAGTTGCGGACGAGTCAAATACGAAAGGAAGCCACCGCCCAGAAGCCCGCAGGTTGTGTCTGGAGCGCCGTGACCACCCCTCTGCTGCTTGTTCGGGGCACCCAGAACATTCCTGCTGGCAAGCCGTCACTCCAGATCTCTTCAGCTTGGATGCCTGGCAGTGTCATACCCCCGCCCCTGGTCCGAGGTGGGCAGCAGGCGTCCTTGAAGCTGGGGCCGCAGGCGAACTCGCAGGTCATCATACCCCCGCTCGTCAGGGGGGCCCAGCAAATCCATAGCATTATGCAACATTCCAGCACAGGCCCACCGCCCCTCCTGGCCCCCCAGGCATCGGTGCCCAGTGTGCAGATTCAGGGACAGAGGATCGTCCAGCAGGGCCTCATCCGCGTTGCCAGTGTTCCCAACACCAGCCTGCTCGTCAACATCCCACAGCACACCCCAGCATCACTGAAGGGGACGACAGCTTCCTCCGCTCAGGCCAACTCCACCCCCACTAGCGTGGCCTCTGTGGTCACCTCCGCCGAGTCTTCAGCAAGCCGACAGGCGGCCGCCAAGCTGGCGCTGCGCAAACAGCTGGAGAAGACGCTACTCGAGATCCCCCAACCCGAGCCCCCAGCTCCAGAGATGAACTTTCTGCCCAGCGCCCCCAACAGTGAGTTCATCTACCTGGTCAGCCTGGAGGAGGTGGTGCAGAACCTACTGGAGACACAAGCGGGCAGGATGTTGGCCGCCACTGTGCTGTCCCGGGAGCCCTACATGTGTGCACACTGCAAGACGGACTTCACGTGCCGCTGGCGGGAGGAGAAGAGCGGCGCCATCATGTGTGAGAACTGCATGACGACCAACCAGAAGAAGGCGCTCAAGGTGGAGCACACCAGCCGGCTGAAGGCCGCCTTCGTGAAGGCGCTGCAGCAGGAGCAGGAGATTGAGCAGCGGCTCCTGCAGCAGGGCGCAGCCTCTGCTGCACAGGCCCAGGCCAAGGCCGAGGCCGCCGCCGCCCCACATCCCACGCTGAAGCAGGTCATAAAACTCCGGCGTAGGTTGGCGTTCCGCTCAGGAGAGGCCTGCGACTAGAGTAACGGGGCTGTGCTACAGGCCTTTAGCCTGCTGTCCCAGGGTTCGGCCATGACGCCCCGAGATGTCCTGCACACGTTCAGTCAGTCACCCAAACTGCAGAACTCAGCCTTGGCCACAGCCCTGGTCAGCAGGACCGGCAGACATTCCGAATGAACCTGTCAAGGGCAGCAGCACCTCCAACTGGAAGAAGACGCCCCTCAGCACAGGCGGGACCCTTGCGTTTGTCAGCCCAAGCCTGG